GGAAGCCAGGTGTCTTCCCAGAAAGGTCGGAATAATATAAACCTCTTTCTGATGAAACACTTTTTACTTTTTTTTTTTCTAATTAATAGTGTATGAAACAGCATGTGTCATCTATCCTTTCCCCAGTATGAAGTTACCTGTACCATTGAAAAGTATGTTGCTGAAAATATGTTATTTTGTCCTCTGCTCTTCAATGACTTGAAGCACAAACGTTCTTGAAGGAGTTTGTTCAGGACTGGAGAGCATGAAGACAGCCAAATAGTTTTAAAGGCAGTATACCTCTACAGGTGTATTTAGTCGCATGTCTAGAGCTCAGTTCATGACTAAAATTAAAGGATGCCTAAGCCCGAGAGATGTGTCTTACAGAGAAACTAGAATAAAGGAGAAAGCTGAGACATGAAGGCTGTGCATGCAAAACCAGTTGTTGGAAGTATGCATAGTCCAGCTTTTTCAGAAAGATTCTGAGATGTTGTCTTTAAGTAACAGGAATGGCAAAGAATGAAGAATGTTTGTGGAAAAACTGAGGTGGTGAGAACCTAAGAGATATTACTGCCTTGTCTGTCTTCTTAGGAACAGAAGGATTAATCCTACACATATTATCTGAAACGTCTTCTTTTCAATAGTGATACAAGGACCAACAGCTGAACTCCATCAACTATATGTTTTCGTATATTTTTAAGGAAGACTTTTGGTAATGCACTTTTCAAACAATGAAAGTATTTTGCTGAAGCAGAAAGAAAAGAGTCAAAAAAAGCCCCAACCTAATATTGGATAACTATTTTTGTGACCTGGTAAGAAGAAAATGGCATATATAATACAGGGAAGAAAATACGAGCTTCTGGATACTATTACTAATATATTAAAATAAATCTTAGTAGGAAGTTACTTAAAAGGAACTTTTGGAATGAGATCTTACAGTACGGTTTTTGAATCTCTGCAAAGAGCTGTTTGAGAGATGTAGAAATACATACTTCCATTTTACTTGGAGAGGCTGAGACAGTGTTATGTTGTGAATGATACCAGATACTCTCGAACTAAATTGGAGTGATTGCTAATTCAGGAGACAACTTCACTCTCATAAGTTAAAATCTCTAACAGTTAAAGTCTTTTACTTGTTCTTTGCAAAATAGTACTAATAAAAAATGCCCAGTGTCAAGGAAAAAATCCGGTTATTTATGAAATGGACTTGATATTGAAGGTGTGTAACGTAATGTCAGTGAAGTAAGAGTATGGGAAAGGGCACTGCAGCTCATTAGAGTGAGAGTTTCATATATGGTAGGAGCATTTTTTGGAGGAGTTAAATGTCAGATTCTTAAATGCGTAGGATTCATGGTTTGATTCTGGTTGTAAAGAGCACCAAGATAAGGAGTGCATTAAATTTGGCGCTTAAGAGTGTGTTGTCCATTGCTTAATAAAGCCTCCAGTTATGATTCCTCATTGAGAGTCTTACCAATTTTGAAAAGTTGGTCAACCATATGTTAAATGGCTAAAATGGTTCATATTACTTTTTACTTGCGAGTACTTGTAGAAACAAATAGGAAAGCAAAAAATTGAGAAAAATGCTAGCTAATGAGGATTCAGAGCCTTGGGCGACATAGTTTAGTGTGTGGTGTCCGTGCTCATGGCAGGGAGGTTGGAAGTAGATGATCTTAAGGTCCTTTCCAACCCTAACTATTCTATGATTCTATGATTATGTTTTGCAAGCAATAAATAATTCTGTATTTCTTGTTTTCTATTAAATATTGGCAATAGAGTTTTGGGAGCTATTCAGCTCATCAACCAGGAAGTGCAGGGATATTGTTTTTGGCACCCTGCTGTCTCTCCAGAAGGCAGCAGATCTTTTATAAGGTCTTGTCTGTCAACTTGGTATGGACATCTCCAATCCCTTCAGTGGCTCAGATGGCTCAAATGTGACCACCTGAATTGAGCGGTAGGTATCTGGTTTTGGAGGAGGCTTCATTGACTTTATTATCTCAGTTGACTGAAATGGGAGACAGCTTACCTTCAAGATGGGCTCCCTCATGTAGCATCCCAGGTACAGGTGTACCTGAAATTTCATCTGTAGCTCATGTCTCAAAACTACATTTAGATGCTGACATTCATATGTGTTGATTTCAAACTGAACCCTGCACAGTTTTCTCCTCATGCTTAATTTTAGCGAAATCACTCAGATTTTATCTATTTCTCTCTCTCTCTTTACTTATGTGTTGGGAGATAATGAGCCTACAGTACAAGTTAGAACAATGAGACTACAGTACAAGCCAACAGCAGATTCTCTAGAGGTATCTTTAATTAAGTGGAATTAAGTTTGTCCTGGAAGTAGACAAGTGTTAGGAAAAATACTGGACAGTGGACAGTATCCTAGGTGATAACTGTTGTCAGCATTATAATGCAGTAAATTCTGTTTCTTTGCTACATCATCTAGACTTACCTGTATAAAAATGGCATTTTGCAGAAGTCACAAAATAGCTCTTACCATCTGACGTCTTTATTGATCATAATTTTGCACATTTCCTTTTTTGAAAATTTTGAAATGAAGTCTAAATGTGATGGTAATATTTTACCACAGACAAAATCCATCTTTTCTACACAAAATCTCTAGGAAGAAAGGCAGCTTATATTGATATTCTAGTTCCATTAGTTTATCATGATGACTTTTCAGAGCTACAGAGTATTTCAATTAATTTTTAATAGCATTTCCATTTATTATTGCATTTAGTTTTGATAAAGACAAAAAATTGCTATAGACTATAGTATTGATTGTGGAGTTACGAAGCAAGGATATAAAAAAATGAGTTAAACTGGTAAATTAATTTATTCTAAATTCCTGCTTAGTTCAGTCCCATGTTTTGTTAGGGTTAAAGGGTATTTTACAAATGAATTGATAAAGCCGATATGTAGAGTTTTCTCATAGAGTTTGTCTGCTATGTCATGTTATATATGAAAAAAACCTCATTATTTATTTTTTTTGTGCAGTAATTATATTTTGTTGTCTTATGCATTTGTTTTCCTCTCTCCATCTCATAATATGTGCTGTAAAAGCACACATAAATAAATAGGATAAACAAATTAAGCTGTTTAAATAAATTAATTTACTCTGCAGCTCTCTATTCACATCTTATGCACTCACTGGATTTCATTTTAATGAAACCCTTCTAAGAACAATACATTTTGTGCCAAACAGTGAAATTATGTATTAAATGAATGATTAAATATGCCATGTTCCAATTTATACCAAATCTGTACACTGTGCATGCTTAAATCCTCCTAAATCTAAAGAAATAAATCTTCTACATTCTGAAAATATCTGCATTATAATCCTCCTCTTGAATACCCAGTTCATGGACATATAAATACAATTGAAGTCATAATAAGCCTAGAGCTATGATGCAGTTAAACTATACTCATCAATGTTTTTGACTTAAAAACCCTGAGACTATTAGAGTGGTATCCACTTGAATGTCTTGAAACATTGCTCTGAAAGGTCTTCTCCCACTCCGTCAATAGGCCCGCAGTATCCACTCGCAATCAGAATTTCAAGTTTAGCAAATATTTATTATGAAGCTTACCTGGAACAAATTTATTGATCACTATAGACGGTCATATTGGTAAGTTTCATAGAATGCATTCAGAGAAATAAATATTCGTCTAGCTACTGTGCATGAAAAATAATGACTGCTGCAAAAGCAATTGGCTGTGTGAGGAATGTGATGCTCTTCTCAGGAAAACTTTTAGGCATTTGCAGCACCAAGGTTTCATATGTGTTATTGAACATATACGATTATGTATGAACACATACTTTCAGTATGATTTCATTACTGAAAGCTTTTAGTGAGTTGAGTGTATACAAGTTGTTGGCTTGTTTGTTGATTTTGGTTTGGGCTGGTTGGGTATTTTTTTCACTAGGAGTCAGTATTTCAATTATAAAAAAAAACCCAACAAAACATTTTCAGTCCCTCCAATAGATTTCCATCATAAGCGTTTATTTTTATCACTCTTCGACCAAACCGACCTAACTCACACATTTTAGCACTGTCATGGAGCCTTGGGAGCTATGAGCAAGAAAAAGGAAGCTGCAGAGAAAGACAGAGAATTTTATAGAAAGGACTGTTCTGCACTCAGCTCCCTTTGTTTATTGTTTCTGTCAAAGAAAGATCAGTGTAAATGTCAGATATTTCTATCTGCTACATACTGATGGTCCTCACATAACAGAAATGGACTTCAAACCATCACAGTCCTCATGCTCTAACTGTCAGAATCAAGGAGCATCTTGAAGTGCATCATAGCTCCTCCTGGCTACCATGCCAGGCATTCCCCTGGGGAGAAAACCATGAATGGGTGTTTATTCCCTATTTTGAAATAGTGATATGGCCAGTGATATGGCCACACTCTTACAAAAAGTGTGGTTCATTTCAGGTTTGCTTTTCATGGTATAAGCTGGTATTTGAACTTCCATCAGTTACTGGTATAGGTTCAGTAGGGAGATCATATTTTCTTTATGATCCATAGCAGTTCCATAAGATATAGTTGCTCAAGAAGTCCCTTTGAAATTAAAATGTGGAGTAAAATTCAGCATAAACTGTAACAGTCACAACAGTGTCTGGTCTTTATTTATTTACAAAAATAAAGCTGAAGTCTATAAGCCAAAATGTATATTCCAATTCAACAGCATGCTGATAGAAGGCGGGGGGGAGGGGGGGTGCGGGGAGGGAGAGAAAAAAAGGGCCAAAACAAACCCCTTATTTTTATAAGTAGTCCAGAAATCAGTTTAAAAGCCTGACAGGATGAGCAGTGCTCACACTGCATACTAAAACGTAAGGTCTAGCATCCTAAAATCGCAGAGTTGCCTTTGAGAATACACTGCAAATCCTGGACATCTCACAGAGGAAAGAATAGGTTGTCATTTAGAAGGGAGATATATTTTAGGGAAGTGGAAACAGAGTTTTATTTTAACATGCCTTTTTTTTTTTCTTTCTGTAATTATTTTTTGTGGGATCTAGGAACGTGTTCCAGATAGCCCTTCTCCTGCTCCTTCTCTTGAAGAAGGCCGAAGACCTGGCAGCCATCCTTCCTCTCATCGAAGCAGCAGTGTGTCCAGCTCTCCTGCACGGACTGAGAGCTCTTCAGACAGAATCCGTAGGTCACATTCTTCTCCTTGTCACCACTTCAAATTTGATTAGGTGCAGCTGGTTTTTCTAATCAAAATGCCCTCGTCTTAAATAGATCTCAAATGTATAATGTTCAGAAGTTCAGCTGCAATAACTATCTCCCAACATCATGTTCCCCAGTTTACAGTATCATAATATCTGATGCTACATTAACGGGTACTGGTATAAACTGCCATCGTGTCATATTAAACATAAAGATATGAGCTATGATATACAGAATTGCAGCTGAGAAGCAATTTGCTAGATTAGTTTTAGAACTGAACATATAGTGTAAACATACTTTAAAGAAATTGAGTTTTATTTAATCTGGTTACTGTGGTTTGATTTCTAAATTGAATCTGACTTCATAGCAACATTTTACATGGTAGAATTGCTTAGCAAAGAGAAGAATTAGGTTAAATCAATTAAAAAATGTGTGTGCTTCATGATTTTTTTTAATATAAAAATTTGGAATGGCGAGAAATCTGATAACAGAGAGAATTGTCACCTCATAGCTCACAAGGGATGGAGTGAAATTAAACCATAGTGTCTCAGAATGATACCATTTTTATCAAGGCTCCAAGTACAGGATGTAAATTACATGGCAAAGGCCCTGAGTTCTATGATACTGCAGTGCAAGAGCTTGGAAATCAAGGTTGTATACACATTTTATGGATATTTATGTAATTCATATTGCACTTGTCTGTTCCTTTTACTATTGCTCCAATGCAGGTTTTTGTGCTTTCAGGGCATCTTCCCACAGTGGAATTTGCTAGTAGGTGTAACTAGAGGATTTGGCATGCAGATAGAAGGCCATGAAAAACCCATATGAAATACATAGTCATGTTGATTAGAAAGCAGTACATGCGTCTTTTAGACTGCTCCTTTTCAGGCTCTCCACAGACTTGGGAAGCTGACTCTTCATTGACCTTCTGATGAAAGATCTTTCATTACTATGTGATGAAAAATGACTTACCAAAGAAAAGAAATGAGGCCTGACCATGACAAGCTGAAAATTCTGTTTTCTTATCACTTCGACAATTCATATTGCAGATTAAACTGGCATCCCATATATTGTGACCTAACTATTTCCCCAGGCTTGACCCATGAGCCTTTTGTTATATTTTCTCTCTCTCTTGGGGAGGGAAGCAACAGAGTGGCTTTGGTGGGTACCTGACATCCAGCCAGGGTCAACCGACCACAGAATTCTTAAGCAAAGTTCTGGAAAAAAATATTATAAACCTGGATTTGTAGTTTAGGGGTTTTTTTAATTTTTGATCATATTAAAAAAAAAAACCAACAAAAAATCAAAAAATAAAAAAACCCCAACACCAAACATTGAAGACTTTTTCCATTGTTCTGTTAAATAATTAAATAAGTTAAATAGAGAGATACTGCTTTTCCTAATGTATGACACTTTAACAAATTCAGCTTACTCTGCTTACTTACCAACAGAGAGGAGTCAGACCTTTGCAGGTTGTTTATTCCAATGTGAACATAACAGAGTTCCTTAAATACTGGGTCATTTCAGTAACTTACTTATTTATAAAACAGCTCTTTCTCTCTCTTATCTGATGGTTAACATCACACCTTAAGTACATCGTTTGTGGTGCCAGCAAGAGTAAAATGTAGGCTACAGAAATAAGGGTTGCATATAAAGAAATGCTTTACTAAAAGTAGCATAAATCTCTTGCAAATACAGTTTTTCAGGATAAAAGCATAGGGATATAAACCACCTTATATGGATTTCTGAGTTGTGTTTGAGAGTCATGAAGGTCTGCTTGAGAACTGTTGGAAAGAACTTGTCATGCTTTTTGATGAGCGAATAAGCAATCCTACTGTTGCACTGTATATTTTGAAAAACAGTGTTTATCACCTGGAAGGCCACAATGCTTTATCTGGGGAAGTTAGGAACTGCATACTGGGAATACTGATATATGACATTTTTTTTACACCTAACTAACTAAAAAAAGTAAATAACTCACATAGAACCTTTTGTTGTTTCAAGCTTGCTTCATTTTGCATTTCAGTTCTTGTTAAATAAACAAGAAGATACTTTTAAGTATCCAACTTTGTCCAAAGATACTGAACTCTTCTTTTTAAAGTTAACTGCTTTAAACAAGAAGTAACAGGAAGAAACTCTCTTGCTTTGTGGATACTGATAGCACAAATTAAGTAACTTTGTGATTGTTAGAATTCTTGTATAATTAAGAGGAAAACTATATAAAATAAGTAGAAAAGTGTATTGTTAATATAACGGCTGATTTTCTTTCTGCCTGCATTTGTGTCTAGCATCTGTCCATCAGAACGGGCTATCTATGAACCAAATGCTGATGGGTTTGTCACCTAATGTCCTGCCTGGACCTAAGGAGGGTGATCTGGCTGGTCATGACGTGGGACATGAGACAAAAAGAATACACATTGAGAAAGGTAATACGAGTATCATTATTCTGCTGTTTCAGTGTAAAACAAGTATTGTCTCAACAGCTATATAGTATTATAATTGTGATTTTTATTTTTTTAAATTGGGATCTTTTGCTTGTTTGCTTGTTTGCTTTTTGTTTCACAGATTAAATTATAACAGGATGATAGCTTCCTTGATTCTTCTGCTTTGTAGTCCTTGAGATTAATGAACAATATTTAAATGAGGAGGATTTTCATAAATATTACAAAGAAGGATGAGTGAAAAAGTTTTACCTTACTGCTGTGTTGCCGACCCTTCTACAATACTGTTTAGGTTTTAAGTTTCTGTCTCTATCCAGTTGACTTTAATGACCTACTTCCCAAAGGGACTGAGCACCGTGAAAATTAGTCCATGTGTGCAAAAAGGAAAAAGGCTAATACCAAGCCATTAAATTAGGCAATTGCATAAAATGAGGCTGGTACACATTATATAATGGGATTTAAATTTAATTGAGTATATGACCAAAGTGTTTGATCTAGGTGAATAGTCCACATGCACTTATGCTGATTATGACACCATTTCATCTCTGTTGGTATTCAAATTTAAGTTTCTGTTCAGGATTGTTACAGGGGATTTTGGAGGGGCAGTGCTGGAATTTTAAAAAGTACATTTGATGTTATATTTACTTAGTATACGTGAATTACAGACTAAAATATGTTTTGGTTAAAGAGAGTTTTGGTTAAAGAGAAGTCCATTGAAAAAATATTCTTTGGGCTTATCAGAAAAATCAATTCTTTAAGCACAGTGGGAATAAAAATAAAAGGTATAATAAGTAGGCATAGATACAGAGCTGGTGAAACTGCTGCAGTAATGAAGATTTCAGAAAAAAAGCATTTTGGGACATGTTTTTATGGCTATGATACCTTCTCTGCCTTGTGTTTGAACATTGAGATATGAAAAAGAATTAAAATCTAGACAATTCCATTCTGGACAGGTGGCATTTTTAATAGGATTACTAGAAAAATTAATGGAAACAACATTTCTTTTATATAAACCATTTAGTTTGGTTCATTGCACACACAACTTATACTTACGCCCTCACTCAGCCCCTGCAAATTGTATCCCTGCTGTGAAGTATGATGTGATCAAATAGACTTGTTTTGAATTTCCATAAATGATTTTATTTCAGCCTTTGAAGTTATTAATTTAAGTGTAATCAGACTGGTAAAGCCTGCAAAGAGGAGTACATTTTAAGAATTGCTTCTATTTTTGCATGTCATTCAATTTTTTTAAAGGGTTTATTTCTGATGGTACCCCAAATGTATTGTCCAATTTGTTGCCAGTTCACGTTTTTGAAAGATCTGTTCTCAGTAAAACGGCTAAGAATTCTCTTTTTTCTTCAGTCCTTGTTTAGGTCAAACCTTCTATTTTTCGTTCTTTTTTCCCCCTTGTGTTCTAGCCTACTGAATTAATGGAAAATATTCATGGGCTATCTAGATTGATAGGGTATACTAAATTAAAAATTGTTTCCTGTCATGACTACATTTATCATGTCTCTCATACCAATCTTGTAACTTTAGTATTGATCTAATCTGTATTAAAACAAGTGATCTAACTTATCGACAGTTGTGGAAATAGTAATTATGTACTTCTGTCACTGTGAGCTTGCAATAAGATTTCCCAACTCTTGCTTACCACTGCAAATCATTCATAATGAAACCATATTTAAAAATGCAAACATATATAGGAGTTGGTACTCTAGTTGTTGAAACACAATGACCTTCATCATCTGATTCAGAAGAAAGAGAGGAAAACAGAAGTTCTAATTCAGTATCATGAAGCATTTAAACGTTATTGTTTTTTCTTCTAAGCCACTTTTGTTGCTAGAAATCTATTAGCTGCAACTAAATGGCTTTTAACTGAACCTGGGAGATCCTGCCTGGTAAAGAAGGCCCTGTGTTTTCTCTTCTTGTCTCCTCTTCCATTAAAAAACTGAAAAGGCAAAAAATCTCTCAACTAATCTGAAATCAGGGAACAATTTCTTTACAGCCAAAGGAGAATTTAAAGAAGGAATGAAGTTATATCAGAGGCAACTGATCAACATACTAAATTTTGAAAAGACTTAACATATGTCAGAGGGGTGAATCATTTTTCTGACCTGATGTATGAGTTGGAAACAGGAGAGAAAATAACATTTTACTGTTATAAACGTAAACCAAAGGAGCTAATTTATCCAGTCCATGCAACATAATGTAATATATTTAGAAACAGTTTGTTGGCACTTACAAACTGAATAACAGTTTGAGGGCATTCAGGCTTTCAAATATCACATGCATTTCTATTCAAAATTCAGTCAGAATTATTATTAGTGGCAAAGAGGAGTTCAAGCTACCAGTAATCTCTTGTGTAGTTTTGTTTGTTTTTTTAAATTTGCCTTCAGACTGTCTTCAAAATCTGGTCTCAGGTTCTGGTGTGTGCAGTCTTGAGTGACCTCACCTTCCATTTCAGGTTGTCATTCTCCCACCAAGAATCACATTAGGTTTTATGGATCTCATTCACTGTCTATTAAAACTGGAAAGTTTGTCTCAGGTATTGGGTCAATATTTGTTGCAGGAAACCAGGAAGAGTTTCTGTTATTAAAGACCATGTTTAACCCGTAGGTGTTGGGAACATTTTCTAACTGCTGACTTCAGGTGTGCATCTTGGCCATGTTCTAGCTTCATGATGGGGCAAGACCAAATGTACGCATCTGAAATTCCACCCACTCCCTGGGTTCCATGAGAAGAAAACTTATATTTGCTAAGGGTTATGCTGTGGTCCAGCCAGGTTCCTAATCTGGACTAGGGAGGACTACAGGAAACACTGCAGAGCACTTCTGTCCCGTAGTTCATGCATAACTTAAAATGTCATTGCCTGTGTGACCAAAGAAATCAATTAGCCTAAATTTCCAGGATTTTTTCCTTGTTAAAGGGTAGCAGATTTTCCAGTTTTACTGAAACGAGGCTGTAGAACTGCAAATGATCCTGGGAAGAACAAAGTAAGTTCAAGTACATGGTATTAGTTAAGTACTTGACAGCCATCATCAAAGCCAAGTATCTAATTTTGTAACCTGTAATTATAGACTATTTGATGATGCACATTTAGTTTTATTAGGTTAGATTTCACAAGAAGGATGTTTGTGAAGTGCAGAAGTCATATTAGAAAAGATCCATTCATTTTTTTTTTAATGTTAAAATTAAGGCTCTGAGTCTTTTCAGGTGAAGTAAAGTTTCTATGACTCCAAGAGTTTGCTTTAAATAGTCCCTCATTTTTGGTGAGGTATATTTTATAACTTATCATGCTCAGCTGTTATCTGAGGTCCTGCAGATCTCCCAGCCTGTGCAAGAAGTGTGGTAGTGATGGGTTTATGCGGCTAAACACTCATTCAGCTTTTCAGTGATGCTGTCTGTTAAATCTGGAAATAGCACAGAATAGAGGAACTAGCAGAGAACCTAAAGACTAGACTGCTGAATCCTCATCCTCTATTTGCTCATTGATCTGAAGTGCTTAAAAAAAAAAGAGTTTAAAGTAATCAATGACTTAAACACACACCCCTAATTCCTTGTATGCAGAACAAAGAACTGAACCTGTAGCACATTTTTCTGGGCAGTATCCTTAATCACTGTCCTTTGTGCAAAAGAGGGAAGCATATTTTACCATTGTACTTTTGCCTTTATGACCCAGACTCTGGTCATGTGGGGGTTGCAAAGTGGAATTTATAGCATAGTCCTATTGCCAGAGTTTCTCTGTCTCCTAGCTCCTGGAAGCTGCACACGATTTTCTGTTGCCTTTAGACAGATCATAGTCCTACTTTTTGACTTCATTAGATCCCAGTTTGCTGTACCTGATTTGGGTAACTGGTGCCTGTCTAGCATCCCTACCCTAAACACTGTAGGAATGTAAGACCCAGTCCACTTCACCCCAAGATTCCCTTCGGGGGACGACAAACACCTAAAAGTTAGTAGCTTTAGCACCAAATTTAGATGCTTAAGTGTTTTATTGGATCTGGCCCTAGGGCATCAGATTAGAATTTTCTGTCTGCATCAATTTATATTTTTTTTGATTGACACCAACAGCAAATGAAGCCTGAATGTCATGCTTACATTTTAAATTGAATATGTTATTTGAGGTGTTATGGGAAGGACACTCTCTTGTTGAAGATATGCATGCTGTTTTCTACAACAAAATATAAAATATTCACCATGGTCTCAAAGGAAGCTGAACTATTTATTTCAGAAGAGTTTTTAAACTATAATATTAATGGAAATTTCTTATGTTATTTTCAGACAGTCAACAGTAACTGCTTCTTGACTACTATGATAGCAGCAATTAAGGTATAACTTTATCAAATCCACATGTTAAAGAGTCCCAGTTTTTCTCTCTGTTTTTATTTTATGTTCCCCTGTAGAGACATGAGCAATCTGAGAACTCCGTCTAATATCTTATAAAATAGAATATTAAAATTCAGAAATATCCTTAGTGCAAAATGGAAAATAATTTAAATATTCCAAAATTAGAATTGTGTTTTCCTGCTAGCAGTCATGCATCAAGTTGGGAACTAATAATAATATGTCATCCTATATAGTTAGATATTCATTGTGTATTATGAGCAGTAAATTCTTTCATAATATATAGATAGTGTAAATGTATATCAAGCATGCTGATTCACCTTAGAATCATAGAATCATAGAATGGTTAGGGTTTTTAAAGGCCCTTAAGGTTATCTAGTTCGGGCCCCCCTGCCATGAAGGGCAGGGATGCCTCACACTAGACCATGTCGCCCAAGGCTCTGTCCAACCTGCCCTTGAACACTGCCAGTGATGGAACTTTTACCACTTCTTTGGACAACCTGTTCCAGTGCCTCACCATCCTCACAGTAAAAAACTTCTTCCTTATATCTAACCTGAACTTCCCCGGTTGAAGTTTAAACCCATTCCCCCTTGTCATGTCGCTACAGTCCCTGATGAAGAGTCTCTCTCTGGCACCC